GAGGAGCTGAGGAAGAGGCATCGAGGCTGCAGAGCCGGAGCGAAGGTGAAGGCTAGGCTAGCGGCTAAGCGGTGTACAAGCCCACGGTTCCGTCGATAGTGATGGGGAATGTGAACTGTCTGAACAAGACGGACGAGCTGGCTGCCCTTGTGAGGACGGACAGGACGTTCAGGGAGTGCAGTCTACTTTGCCTCTCTGAAACCTGGCTAACCCAGAACACCCCGGACGCTAATGTGGATCTACCTGGATTCACTACAGTGAGAGCGGACCGGGACTGTGGACGCAGTGGCAAAAGCAAAGGAGAGGGACTCGCGCTGTTTATCAACAACAGATGGTGCAACCAGGGGCATGTTACGGTGAAGGAGATGTGTGCAACAGAGACATTGAGTTGCTGGCGGTAGGTCTCAGACCGTACTACATGCCTATTGAGTTCTCCCACACCATTGCTGTTGTTGTTTACGTCCCTCCACGTGCGCACGCAGAGACCGCGTGTGACGTAATACACGCCACCATCGCGAGACTGCAAACACAACATCCAGACGCATTCATCGCCATCTCCGGGGGTTTCAACCACGTGATACTGGACTCCACACTGTCAGACTTTCACCAGTTTGTAAGCTGCCCCACCAGGAAGAACAGGACATTAGACCTCCTGTACACCAACGTGAGCGAAGCTTACATTGCCACTCTTCTACCCCCACTGGGAAATTCTGATCATAACCTGGTCCTGCTCACGCCACAGTACAAACCACACATCCAGAGACAGTCCACGACCAAACGCTCCTTCAGGAAATGGTCTCCTGAGGCAGCGGAGGCTCTGAGAGACTGCTTTGAATCCACTGACCGGAGCGTCATGCAGGAAGAACGTGGTGAGGACATCGAGGGGGGTCACACACTGCACTACTGACTACTTGAACTTCTGCATGGACGTTGTGGTCCCCACCAGAACGGTACGCTGCTTCCCCAACAACAAGCCCTGGATCACCAGTAATGTCAAGGACATCCTGAACAGGAAGAAGAGGGCATTCAAGGATGGTGACAGGGATGAGCTGAAGCGCATACAGGGGGAACTAAAGGTCCACCTGAGAGAGGTGAAGGAGGACTACAGAAGGAAGGTAGAACAGAAGCTGCAGCACAACAACATGAGGGACATGGATTATGGACTACCTCACAGAGAGACCACAGTACGTCAGACTGAAGGGCCACACGTCAGACACTGTGGTCAGCAGCACCGGAGCACCACAGGGAACCGTGTTCTCTCCCGCCTCTTCACCTTGTACACATCTGACTTCCAGTATAACGACGATATAATGACGATACGACGATACTGTGATAGTTGGCTGTATCAAGGATGGACAGGAGGAGGAGTATAGGAGCCTGGTAGAGGACTTCGTGAGGTGGTGCAGGACCAACCATCTGCAGCTGAACACCTCTAAGACCAAGGAGATGGTGGTGGACTTCAGAAGGAAGAAACCACATCTCCAACCTTTGTCCATCGAGGGGGTCGATGTGGAGGTGGACAGGACTTACAAATATCTGGGGCTGCAGCTGGATGACAAGCTGGACTGAACAGATATATGTCCATTTATATTTTAATAAGTGGGGTCCTAGAATGCTCACACAAGTATGTGATAATGAAAATGAAATTTGGATGATTACATTTTAATTAAAACTTTTACCTAAATAACACAAATGGTAATGTTATTGTGTGATTTAATTTTCATTTGCTAGTTTGAATGATAATTTGAAATTAGTCCCCTATACGCTTCCATACTTTTCTATCAAGTATGCGCATTTCTGTATTTATGGCATCTATTCAACTAATTGGACAACTATGTCCGGAATGGGGTAAGTATTGTAAAGTTACTTATTATGCCTCAGCAACAACTGATATTGCCAAAGGTTTTAGGACACCCCTCCGAATCATTGAATTGAGGTGTTCCAATCACTTACTTGGCCACAGGTGTATAAAATCAAGCACCTAGGCATGCAGACTGCTTCTATAGTGTGGTACCATGATAGGTTGCCACCTGTGCAATTAGTCAATTCGTGAATTTTCCTCACTACTAAATATTCCACGGTCAACTGTTAGAGGTATTATAACAAAGTGGAAGCAATTGGAAAAGTGGTACCTAAAATCACAGAGTGGGGTCAGCGCATACTGAGGCGCACAGTGCACAGAATTTGCCAACTTCCTGCAGTCAATAGCCACAGACCTCCGAACATGGTGTGGCATTTAGATTAGCTCAAGAACAGTGCTTAGAGAGCTTCATGGAATAGGTTTCCATGGCCGAGCAGCTGCATCCAAGCCTTACATAACCAAGTGCAATGCAAAGCATTGGATACAGTGGTGTAAAGCACGCCATCACTGGACACTAGAGCAATGGAGACGTCTTCTCTGGAGTGACGAATCACGCTTCTCTGTCTGGCAACTGATGGACGAGTCTGGGTTTGACGGTTGCTAGGACAACAGTACTTGCATTGTGCAAAAGTGTAAAGTTTGGTGGAGGGGGGATTATAGTGTGGGGTTATTGTCATACATCTATGTACTCTCTGGTCTCCTAAGAAATCAGAAAGTTTATGACTTAATTAAAGAGGGAATTTAGATCATCCTAGCAGTCTCTTACAATTACATCAGTTTTGATGATTGGTAATTTTAATCCATAGAGGCAACAAAAGCTGGGTTGTCTGCCTTTGTTTCATCGCTTTTTGTTCTCAGGTACACTGTCTCTGGTGGATGTTTGTTTTCTAACTTCTTCCACAAACCAGTAGTAAGTAAGACATTAGCTACAAAGCTAATGTTTGTTGATGTTAACTTCTTAACTTCTTAATATACAAGATATCCATTTTGTTATTCAAACCATGACTTACCTGTAGGTTCTGATGTGTGTTTTGATAAATTTTCCACTAGATCATTCTTATTCATCTTCCCTAAAACCATTTTGGTGACTTTTATAGCGTTTATATGGTAAGTCTGCACCATCTCATCCACTGTATCCACCCTCTCTGCATTTTCCAGTCGACTCTTTGGTATTGTGGGGAAGGCTTCCAGGACCTCTGACTGCTGCAGGTACCACTTGAATATTTTAAACTCCTCGGTTCCCAAATCCTCCAAAGTTCCCAAGAGGAATACTTTGGATGTTGCCATCTTTCAGCCCTGCAAAAATCCAAAATACACCTACAAGTTAATTTTACTTTACTTTAAAGAACAATTCATCATTTACTAAGCCCTGATCACTTAGTTACTGTTTCTATGCCTGTCAAGCTATTTTGACACATTTACCATTCTAAATTTGACAGTATTTTAGGTATTTCACTTCATACAGAAGTAAACAAAAACAATGTCTAATTGTTTGCCAGAGACCGTTGATTTAGCTAAAATGACCACTATCATTGGCAGATTTTATCACCTTAAACTTTGACTCCATCTCCAACTGACATTTTAAAGTTGGTGGCTGAATCAATTTTAAATGTGGACCTCGTGACAAGGTCTTAAATATGCATTTTATAGCTACATACATAATTATGCTAAGGCAATCATGCCGTTTTATAAATTAAAAAAATGATGTAAATGTAAGAATTAACATTCTTTTTTTTTCTAACATAAACCATTCAGATATTTACTGTAGAAAAACATACTTGGAAAAACAATACAAAGGTTTAATGCTTTAATTGCAGTATTTTATAACAATGTATCTCAGTTTTATAAGAGGAAATATGGCGGCAGAGAGCACTGCAACACAACCAAAGCATTGTAAACACAAACCACTTTAAAAAAAATATATTCACCAACTTGACAATATGCAACAACAAACTACACAATACAAAAGCATATACAGAAAGAGTACCTAGGATCCTTGTAGTTAAATCCACTTCAGCAGCTCGAGATTTACAGTTGCAATATCAAAACAGAAAGAAGTTTGTCCATCATGTAGAGAGGCAGAAACTAAGGGTGTGAAGGTTAGGGGGGAGGGATGAGACGACCATCACAGATGGGGTAATTATTATTTGCCTTCTTATTATCTGTAACCATGGTCTTTATTTGCTGTCAGCCAAGTGCTTTAGTTGCCTGACCCTAACCGTACCTTAACTAAAACGTTACTTACTTATGCAATCTTTCCCTGTTAAAAAAAATGTTGATGATAATCCAAGGTGTCCAGAATTATCCAATATGTATGTTCAGGTCTCTTTATGAGGTTAGTTTTTAATTCCTACTGAAATATTTGTCATATTATGTAGTATTTACTGCATTTATATTTTTGCTATGGTTTTCTATATTTGCTGTGTGCGGTGAAGATAATGTCATCACTTTCTTGTCTTGTGTATAAGTCTTCAATAAAGTTACCTTGAATAACAGTGTGCTCTTATTTTGACAGAAACACAACCACCCTAGGTCATTGCTGCATTAAATACACCTGAGCTTATCTAAAGTGCTTTAATGATTATAGATGAGGGAATGTTTGCGCATGGACACCCCAGACTTTGTACTGCAGGTGGAACGCTGAGGCCACAGAACAAGAGTATTTCTTCAGTACTTTCATAACTTCTGTGAAAGATATATTTTTAATGCAGCATGTCTCTGTTATTATAGTAGTTATATTTTATTTATACTTGTTAATTAAACTTTGTGAATGTGTCTTTTAGTCAGCATTGGATGATAAGAATGTTAAAACTGACGTTTTGGAATTTGATTATATTTGTTAAATCTGCTGACTCAATATAAAATACAGAGCTACAGTAGATAAAATGATATTGCTGAGGTGGAGCATGAATCTGAACTTTCAACTCAGTTGTAATATAATTTACTGTTTTGATGGCAATGTGACATTTTTGCTGCAGTTCGTCACAGTAACAGCTCAGCCTGATTAATTAATACAATAAGTGTAAACATACAATAATTCCAATATTCTGAAGTAAAATCATTGCTTTGAACTTTTCCTGGGAACCTTTAACATATTTACTGTAATATAGTGTAAAATAAGCATTCATGAATGAATCCATACTTTGTGAATCATTTAATTTTAATAGTTGTTGAAGAGTTGATTCTGTTTTCTTTTTTAAGGTTTATGGCATTGTTTTGAATTTCATTGTATGGTACAGGTGCTTCTAATATTTCACCAACACAAGACACTGCCTCAAAGGTACCAAAGAATTACGTTACTAAAGATGAACATTGAATTTATATTACAATTAATAAATGATTCATACTACAATTTAGCATTTATTTGACACATTTCATTTTACTCTTTTGGTGCAGAGGAAATTTTGGAGTGACTGTCCGTCAGTACTGATAACTACAAAGATCCATTTGTATTCTGTAAAGTGGTATGGATGTTATTGATCATGTTAGTTATCCTGACATTAGATGATATGGCGAAGCACTTCAATGTGAAACATGGCAATCTCACTCAGTCTTTAGAATAAATCTTACAAGGAAAGGCTGAAAATTAAAAAAAATAACCCAGAGGCCATCCTGATTCAATGTTCAACAAAGCAACATAAAACATTACTACCAACATCACCTCTACTGTTAGTAGATTAGTTTAACACTGACACTCGCAGACAGTAACTTAATGGAAAGTTGTTAGCTACGTTACCTTTAAAAGGGGAAAATAATCTGCCCGAAGCCGATGAGTGAAGGAGAAATTACTCAGCAGCTTCAATCAAGGAACCAACCAGAGAGAATAAACATGTAACTCTCAGCAGGTTTTTTTTAAAGTTAAAGGTCTGTTGATTCAGAGACAGTTCGATCTCCCATTATTATGCTATAAAAAGAAGGAAGTGCGGCTGTGATCTGTGGACCTTGAACAAGTGAAGTCATAACAAATCCTTAATCAGTGTGACCATAAATCTCAAATGATGTAGTTTTAACCTCAGTGCATTTTATTATTCAACAGTTTGAAAAGCTGCAGTGCAATTTGAACAAAGAATTTCAGGACACTTGTTGAGCATTTCTAAAATGCATTGTTGTAGTAACTGGTATCTGTTATTTAGTCTGTTGTGTTTTGGGTTTCAGTCCTGTCTGTTGTCCTGTGTCCAGTCTGCTAGTGTTAATCTGTTTTGTTCAGTTATCTTAGCCTGTTGCTGAGTTTGTCTGTGTTGTTCTGTTATCTTGTCTCCCTTAGTCACTCTGCGTTTTTTTTTGGTTCGGTCCCTGTTTGTTTTGTTGCTAACGCCATGCATTTAGACTCCCTGTTTCTGTTCTGTTAATTTAGACTTAGGTATAGTTTGCTTGCTACCTTAGTGTGCTAACTCTACCTGATGTTATTGTTTATCTGGTGATGATCTGTCAGCTGGTGTTCAGAGGTGTTTGGTATTTTCCTTATCTCTGATCTTTTCCATGTTTAGTTTTGTCCTGTTTCCTGGTTAGTCCTGTCTCTGTTCCCTACCCTGTTCTGTGTAACAGTTGGTCCATGTTTTCTGTTTGGGGGTTTTGTTCCTTGTCTTGTGTTCTCTGTTTAGCCTTGTTTATTCCATTGTTCATTTGCAGTTTCTGTTTAATTCTAGCTTCAGTCTGTGTTCCCCATTGGTTGTAGTTTATTTGTGATCATCTCACCTGCTTTGCGCTCACCAAAACCGTGACACTACTAAATTCATTTTCAAAACTTGAAACATCTATCTAGCTCTCCTTGAGTAAAGAAATTCCCTCAACTGAGCCCTTGTGTACAATAAATAAATTAAATGTTAGAGGCGGTCTAGGGCCTTTGTGTTTGGCCTTGTCAAATCATCCAGATTTGACTAATAACATTTATTTGTATACTTGTCCTAGTAATTAGTCAGGGGGCTCTACCATTAGACAAGGTAAGCAGCGGTCGTTGTTGTAAAAGAATAATTTCAACTACACAGTAGCTACAGCAGGTTGAGAATTGTAGGTGGCAAGACATGTTTGGGTTCTTTACAAGTTAAATCTTTTATTAGTTTATTGTTGTACACCTTCTGAGTCAAGAAACAGGCAGGAGAAATCACTACTTACTCCTGGTATATCTACAAAACAGCAAAAAAGACGCAAGAACAACTGCTGTCCATACACCATCAGACTCAACTACAGTTGACATACTTTATGCTGTATATACACACCCACGGGCAGCACAGTGGCTATAGTGTTGTTTTTATGGTTTTATGTGTTTTTATATTTTACTAGCTGTCTCGCACTGAGTAAGGACTGCACTTAATTTCACTGTATTGTTACAATGACAAATATATTCAATTCAAATAAACTGCCTCTGTATGTAAGTTAACTATATACAGTACAGTATGATAACTATGCTAACTTAATTAGCTGTACAATATTTCATTCAGGAGTTTTACACCCCCATGATGTACTTTTGCACTTCCTGTCTTTACAATATACACTGACCAACCAAACATATATAAAAGGTTCAGTGTAACCACATTATGAGGGCTTCTGAAAGCAAGATTCAATATCCTTGTAGCTACATTTTAACATTCTGGACTCTGATTCTGATATACTGACAAAATGAACATGTTTCTCTCAGACAACAGAACAAGTGTAAAACAGTAATTTAACCGGATCTCATAATTACTACTTGTTGACCACCAGTCATTTACAAGCTGCTGGACTGTGGTGCTGATCACATCAATATTTTATAATCAAGACGTTATCTGACAAAACCAATAAAGCAATAAAAGGTTGTCTTCTTGATGCCACACAGCTCTCAACCCACACTGGGCAGATCTACAGTATCATTATTTTGGGTGAGAAAACATTTTACCCGCTTTAATGTAAACTTAGGTTACTCACAGGGCATTTAGATGAAAGACGGCATGGTCCTGTCATTAAACTGTATATTAAAGTCCATCCATACAAAGCAATTGGACAAAAACTCTGAACTATATTCTAAAATTGACTGCTGAAGATGATACGCTCTGCTTCTGAAACATTTACTGTAGACATGCAAACCACGACTAAGCTGGAACCCATTCAGAACATGACGTAGCCAGATTCTGTGGACTTAGCGTTGATCCTTTTTTTACCACATTCTTCCTCCTACGGCTCACAGAGCGATACAGACCCAGATGAGCGAATGCCAAAACCAATCCCAAACCCAGGATAAAGAGGTTCAGTGAATGTGGTGTTGAAGGTGTGGAGGTGGATCAGTGTGTCAGAGGAGACTCTGTAGAAGGACAGAGAGCCAGCAGGACAGTCCACATACACTGCTACTCTGTTAGAGGAGGAGGAGGAGGAGGAGAGAGGGAGGTCTGCGACTCTGCCATTGTGCCAGACAGAGGAACCAACCCCAGAGCAGCTCAGACTCCAGGACTGATTGTTCATTCCAAACCTGCATCCAGCACTGTTTCCTTTCCTTCTGATTCCTCTGTAAGTCACTGCTATATGAACTGCTCCTTCCCACTCGACCTCCCAGTAACAGCGACCAGTCAGACCATTTCTACACAACAGCTGACAGAAGCAGTCAAATCTCTCTGGATGATCAGGATATGGTTGATACTCTCTCACTGCGGTTACTTTCTTGTTGTCGTCAGACAGTTTGAGCTTTCTGTATGCCGTGTCTGGGTCCAGTGCAAGTTCACAAGAAACTGATTGAGAGAACGAAACAAAGCAAGTAATCACAAGATAAGTAAAATGTTGAATTAATTTTCTTAAATGTTAACTGTTAATCAGGTTCATGTTACTGAACAACTATGTGTTCATCAACTCAAAAGGAAAAGAAAAGAGAAATGTGGTTGATGAAGTTACTGGGGCTGTGGAGCAAGAGGGGGTCATCTACTGAACAGGGTTGGTGGTTTGCCCACACCTCCTCCTTTCCACAAGTGTCATTGGGCAAGCCATCGGTTTGTGGATAAAAGTGCTATATAAATGTGTCGGTTTAATAGAGAGAGAACAGCAACCTCTCCTAATAATTTCTCCAATCACATACCTATATAGATCTATCCGTCACAAGCGGGATAGCAGGACAATAAGCGATTAGGGGTGTGACAAAATGTCATGCATTGTTCACCCGATCTCACGCTACAAATAAATTTTCTCACACAGTGAAAAACATCGAGTCACAGAGCGAATCAACTCTGCCCAGCTGATGTGACACAAGCGTATGTCATGACAGTCATAAAGTGAACCCGCTTTCGTGTTGTAAGTCCAGCCAGCTTGTGACCGAGTGGTAACGTAACTGTAAGAGTTTTGCAAAAACACTGAAGCACTACCTTGCTCTGTTTGGGAGTATGATCTACACTTTGTCGGAGGTGCTGAAGTTAACGTGGCCTGAAGGGAATACTACTAGCACAGCAATAATGTAACGTAATGCTCAGCAGAGTATAGGGTAAGTAGACTTTTATTATTAATAGACAAACTATCATGAATTCTCATAAAATGATGATGTTAGTCTTGTAATATTACGACAGAAGAAACCTTTCCGAAAGCAACACAGAATGCTTAAGAACCTTACTGCGTTGTATAGATTTTTTTTGAATTTTACCTCCTGAATTGTGTATTTCCCTTTATATAAATAAAAACATTTCCACCATAAATTGGTGCAGAACAAAATTTACATATAACTTAGAATTGAAGATTTCCTCAAAATACGGATAAAAGCTTGTCTTGTCTAATGAAATAACCTGCAACAAAAGGCATACAACATGGTGAGAAAGGCAGAGACCAAAACTGGGAAGGCAAGCCAACACAGGCAAACAAATACAACAGAGAGCAGACAAAGTACAAAATCAAAAATCCAAGAACAGTCCAAGGGAAACAAGTAATAATTCAAAAAACCACTGGGAGAACACTGAGGAAAGGGCTGCTACCATAGGTACATAGATAAATAAGACCTGGTAACAGACAATGGAAGCACACTAAATACATAAGTGAAGAGAAGATAACTAGACACAGGTGAAACTTACACTTCTTCACACCAGGTTTCAGTCTCTGCTCTCCACAATTTTCCATCCTAGAGGAAGAAATATAAAATACATCTTTATTGTATAACCTTCCCCTGCTATTCCTCCGCCTGACAGCATATGAGAACAGTGTGTTTATTCTGTACCTTAGAATGTCCAGTCTCCAGTGTGGCTCCTTCAGTCCAGCAGACAGCAGCTCCATTCCCGAGTCTCCGGGATGATTGTAGCTCAGGTCCAGCTCTCTCAGATGGGAGGGGTTGGACCACAGAGCAGAGGCCAGAGAAGAACAGCCTTCCTCTGTGATCAGACAACCTGACAGCCTGGAAAGAGATAGAAAAATCCAGTCAAATGTCAGTGTTTACATTTTACACAGTTAATTATCAACTGGCTTTTTTTCAATGACCTAACAGCATTGGGCAGATTTCGGGAAAACAACTGAAAAAAGACATAATAATAATAATAATTCATTACCAAAGACAGTTGTTGTAAAAGGTTAAAATCAATTTGAAAATAATGAAAATAAGAATTTGCAGACATGCTTTATCTTCCTGTCATTATAATGAATTTGGAATCTTTTCAAGAAAGAGCTGATCTCTGACCTGAGAGTTTCCAGTGTACAGTGTGGACTCTTGAGTCCAGCAGACAGTAACTTCACTCCTGAATCCTGCAGGTCGTTGTTACTCAGGTCCAGGTCTCTCAGCCTAGAGGACTGTGAACTAAGAACTGAGGACAGAGCTTCACAGCTTCTCCATGATAGATTGCAGCCACTGAGCCTGAAATTAGTTTTAAACTGAATTAATAGAACAGCAAAATGTTTTGTGTTTATTCTTCATGAACTGTAAAGTTAAAAATGAATATATCTAAAGTCCACCTACACAGATTTTTTGGAGGCTTTGACCACTGGCAGCAGCCTCAGAAGAGCCTCCTCTGAAGCAGAGTATTTCTTCAGGTCAAACACGTTCAGATCTTTTTCTGATGACAGTAAGATGAAGACCAGAGCTGACCACTGAGCAGGAGAGAGTTTATCTGTGGAGAGACTTCCTGAACTCAGGTGCTTTTGGATCTCTTCCTCTAGCGAATGGTCCTTCAGTTCATTCAGACAGTGGAACAGATTGATGCCTCTCTCTGAGGAATTACCCCTGATTATATCCTTTATGTACTTGACTGTCTTCTGATTGGTGTGTGAGGTCGGTCTTGTCTCTGTCAACAGGCCTCGTATCAGGGTCTGATTGGTGTGCAGAGAAAGACCCAGGAGGAAGCGGAGGAACAAGTCCAGGTGTCCATTTGGACTCTGTAAGGACCTGTCCACAGCACTCTGGTAGAAATGTTTTAATTTAGTTGTGGCACTTGAGAAAATAGAAAATCTTGAGTTTGTTTGTTCTTCTGCCAGCAGATTGACACCAGAGTTGATGAAGGTCAGATGCACATAAAGAGCAGCCAGAAACTCCTGAATGCTGAGATGGATGAAGCAGAACACCTTGTCCTGGTACAGCCCTCTCTCCTCTTTAAAGATCTGTGTGAACACTCCTGAGTACACTGAGGCTGCTCTGATATCGATGCCACACTCTGTCAGGTCTGATTCATAGAAGATCAGGTTTCCTTTCTGCAGCTGCTCAAAAGCCAGTTTTCCCAGAGACTCAATCATCTTCCTGCTCTCTGGACTCCAGTGTGGATCTGTCTCAGCTCCTCCATCATACTTGATGTTCTTCAGTTTGGACTGAACCACCAGGAAGTGGATGTACATCTCAGTCAGGGTCTTGGGCAGATCTCCTCCCTCTCTGGTCTTCAGCACCTCCTCCAGAACTGTAGCAGTGATCCAGCAGAAGACTGGGATGTGGCACATGATGTGGAGGCTTCGTGATGTCTTGATGTGGGAGATGATTCTGCTGGCCTGCTCCTCATCTCTGAACCTCTTCCTGAAGTACTCCTCCTTCTGTGGGTCAGTGAACCCTCTGACCTCTGTCACCATGTCAACACACTCAGGAGGGATCTGATTGGCTGCTGCAGGTCGTGTGGTTATCCAGAGGCGAGCAGAGGGAAGCAGGTTCCCCCTGATGAGGTTTGTCAGCAGCACATCCACTGAGGTGGACTCTGTAACATCAGTCAGGACCTCATTGTTGTGGAAGTCCAGAGGAAGTCGACACTCATCCAGACCGTCAAAGATGAACACAACCTGGAACTCTTCAAAGCTGCAGATTCCTGCTTCTTTGGTTTCAGGAAAGAAGTGATGAACAAGTTCCACCAAGCTGTACTTTTTCTCTTTCAGCACATTCAGCTCTCTGAAAGTGAATGGAAATGTGAACTGTATGTCCTGGTTGGCTTTGTCTTCAGCCCAGTCCAGAGTGAACTTCTGTGTTAAGACTGTTTTCCCAATGCCAGCCACTCCCTTTGTCATCACTGTTCTGATTGGTTCATCTCTTCCAGGTGAGGCTTTAAAGATGTCTTCTTGTCTGATGGTGGTTTCTGGTCTGTCTGGTTTCCTGGATGCTGTTTCAATCTGTCTGACCTCATGTTCATCATTGACCTCTGCAGTCCCTCCCTCTGTGATGTAGAGCTCTGTGTAGATCTGGTTCAGAAGGGTTGGGTTTCCTGCTTTAGCAATCCCCTCAAACACACACTGGAACTTCTTCTTCAGGTTAGATTTGACATTACGTTGGCATAATAGAGCAATAGTCTCTGAAAAAACACCAGATTAAAACCAATAAGTGAATAATACAGCACATCTGATGAAGGTAAACATTTGGTATTTGAAAATCCTCTTACTCCTCTGTAGACTCTCAGCCAGCTTCTTCTGCTTCATTGTCCTCAGGAAGTCCAGTGTTATCTTCAGAAATGCTTCTCTGCTGCTCCTCTTCTGTTCTTCATCCCCACTTTGACCCTCTAAGCATTGTGGGTAATCTAGACCCAGAATCTCCTTGATCCTTTTCAGCTCGTTTTTCACAAAACTGACAATTTTCTTTTCAAGCAGCTGAAAAAGAGTCAAATATAAACTTACAATTCAGTTAAACTTTGCTGAACACAGCAAGTTATCTGCCACAGACTGGAGGGCTATATATCTAGGACCGAGCTTGGATATACAGTACATGTACTGTGATATCATAACATAATCAGTTTCAGTTTAAAAACTTACGAAACTTTGTGTCTATGTGTCATTTGGTTTTCGTGCATTGACGTGGCTAAATGGCTTGCTTGTGTCTCCTATAACGCAGCTCTCATGCCACATTTCTCCAAAATGTATGGAATGATTGTGGCAGATATATCATGTACAGACCTGCAAAAAAGCTATGCACTAAACCCAACAGGAAGTCTACCATTCCGTGGCGTCAAAGATCAACGGTTGGCTATAAAACAGATATTTATTATAACTTTAGTATACATGCTCCGATCTGTACCAAACTTTACATAGTCAATAACAGCCCCGCCCTGAACACATCTACATGATATGAAATATTCACTCAACATCATAGCGCTACCCACTGGTGACAGGAAGTAAGTTGTTTCTAACAAAAAGTGGCCACCTCACACCTCGATGCGCTTGTAGCAGAAATCAGTTCTTATCTACAAATGATGAAGCGAAACTGTTAATCCCTTTTAGACGTTCTTTAGTGAGTGAACAAAGGCCAAAAAAACATAGGTATAGCGTGTGCTAAACAAGAGTTACAGCTTCCGGCCACACAACTGACGTCATCACCTCACGTACTCCCCTTTACTAGAGCCTCCTGGGTAATGAAGTCCCCTTTTTAATGTAACTCCAAATGAAATTAAATGAAATGCAGTTCTCCTTTTAACTACATATTTAACAGATTAACAGTTTTATGAATATAAATGTTAACTTATTAATCCTTACAAATAATATGTTCTCTTAAATAAATTCTCAACAGCGCTACATGTTATAATTAAAGAATATGACAGTAGTTTGATATCTTGTCAATATGCAGCTATAATTTTTATTGGTAAGCCTACAGTCTACTCTTTATTTCTTTCATAAATACAGAAACGGGAGGTGGGGGGGGGGCACATTAAACTAGAAATAAAATATGTAATTAAATCAGCGTTGGGCAGGCCCTCACACATGTAGCGTGTCGGGGTGTGAGGTGGCCGCGTTGCATATTCTGGAGGCCGTGTTTTCGCTACGTGGTTCGGACGCTGCATGAAGATGTCATGGGTTGGCCCAGTGAAGGCAGGGAGCTGAGGTGTGGACCCAAATGCTGACCAAAAGGAGAAGAGGTTTACATGAAGCACAGGGCAAAGACCAAAGATGAAGTAATCCAACAAGCAAAAGAATCCAGAGCATGGGCAGAGTAATCCAAAGAACAAGGGACAGAACAGGCAAGAATACTCAACATACGACACAAGGACTGAAGACAACTGAGAACAATATATACACTGGTAAACAAGCAGGGAGGGAAGCACAGCTGAAACACATCAGATAATCAACCACAGGGACAAAGCTAGACAAGGACACCAGGTACAGAGGATTACCAAAATAAAACAGGAAGTAAAGTTCACAGGAACACACAAGGACAGATCTAGCAAAGTAAAACACAAAACATGGAAAGACAGCAAAATCAGGGCACGGACAGAGACGGGACCAAACAGCAGACAAGACTACACTAAAACATGGAAAAGACTAAGGACTAGGACACAGACCATAATGATAAAACACAGAAGTACACAGATCAGGAAAACACTAAACATGAGCTAAAGCACGGGCCTAAGAACTAACAAAACAAGACTACACAGAGAAACACAGAACCAAAAACGGACTTAAACAGGAAAGACATGAACACAAAACCACACTCCTAACAGAAGGTGTTATACATCACTTCCTATGTCCCCTTTGTGGCGCTACATGGCACTTGCCGCTATGACTATAAATGAATATTGGCATGTAGATGTGTTTGGGGCAGGACAGTTATCAAGCATGTAAAGTTTTGTGCAGATGCAGCATGTACATTGAAGTTACAACAACTTCCTGTGTCATGGCGAAGAGTTGCTCTTTGACGTAAAATTCAAAATGGCCGACTTCCTGTTGAGTTTGTTCTTGAGGCTTTTTAGTGTATTAATATGATACATGTCCCCAGAAAATTTCATGCATGTAGGTTGAACGTGGCTGAGGGGCTAATTTTTTCCAATTTTGTAGGTGGTGCTAGCGAGTCATTTTACAACGCCCATGCACGAAACCCATGAAATACTTCTGACATGTGTGCAAAGTTTTGTGGGTTTTCGAGTATGTTTAGGCCCCCAATATTGGGATTTTTGGTATTGACAATACTAGCCTGGGTATTACTTGGTATTGGATCGTACAGGAATTAAGTGGTATCGCACATCACTATTAGATATGTATTATTATGTACTTATTACTGGTTGTCGAGGTGGTGTCCAGCAAACGATGTGGGCTTTGTAGATCATTGGCAGACTTTCTGGGGAAGACCTGGTCTGATTCGGAGAGACGGCATCCATCCCACTTGGGAAGGAGCAGCTCTCATTTCTAGAAATCTGGCCAAGTTTATTAGTGGACCAAATCCATGACAACCCAGAGTTGAGACCAGGAGGCAGAGTCGCAGTCTAACACACTTCTCTGCCCTTCTTTTTCAGCAGTTACCCACCCAAAACCCTACGCAGAGTCGCAGCTATCAAGGAATTTACATTTCTTCAAATTTTAATAATCTCTTCCAAGTCAAACGTACTTGCTTCCTCCAAATTAAATAACAAAATTAATAACAACCTGGAAAGATTGACCTAGCTATGATTTAAAGCCTAATGACATAAA